ACCAACACCAGCACGATGCCGAGCTGCGTGCCGGTATAATGTCGCGGCAAATACCATGCTAAGCTGAGGTTACTCTCGGGACCAACACCAGCACGATGCCGAGCTGCGTGCCGGTATAATGTCGCGGCAAATACCGCGACTATGACCGGAATCAACACCGGCGCTAAAACCGACGCACTCTCGGCTCGGAAATATGGCGTGATCGACATACTCTCAAACTGTGAGCTCGTTATACGGAGGCTTCGTGTGTCAGAGTAGCAGAACCTTCTAAGTGGAATCTCATTCTAAGAAAGCTATCGATTCACTCTTTATAAAATCCTAGCAAAACCCTGGCAGAAGGTGATGATTTTATGAGGGTATCGTAGCATTGCATTTACCTCGGCATATTCTGCTACTGTGAACGCTCTGTAATGTATGTGCGGCACGTGCGTATAGTACGTCAAGTGCCGCGCGGAACATCATGTATGCGGTATATTATATTATTATGTGCGTGAGCTCGAAATCGAAAATGTCACTATAACTTGGCTCGAGTTTCTCGAGTTTTAAAAGGTGCGAGAGAAAAGTTTACGTATTATGTACGTCGACGACCGACGACGAGAGGCGCAGAGGCGACACATAGAGACCTTTTGAAACGGTACAAACATCTGTTCCCGTTTTCGCGCTTATTATTACTGATGACGATACGAGAATCATCGTACGTATTATATGTATATATTGTACGTTCGATATGAAATTTCGGAGAAAAGGAGGCAAGGAGAAATATTATACTTGCGTCAGCGCCAGCAGCAGCAGCTCCGCGTCGCTCGCGTACATATACTTATAACAAATAATTGATTCGTACGCTTTGTTTTCATTAAAATATAATCAAAATATCGGGAGGGCACCGGCAGACAAGCCTTTCGCGAAGACGAGACTCTTGAGAATCAAATTAAATCTTGCAATTAGCATTTATCATTAATTCTGTATTCCTAATTTTGCAGCCATTTGCTGCGTATACCATTATTAAAATAACCCCCACCCCGCGGTACCTCTATATTATTCCAGCATTACGGAAAGGACAATTGTCCCGGATGAAAGAGAGCCGAGAAGGCAAAAATAATTTATTAGTCGCATAATCAGCCTTCGCGAGACAAGTAGCGTGAATTTTAATTGACGCTAACAATGCTTATTGATCATTTCCGGTTATAAAGCTCTCTGTATGTATACGCGCGCGCACGCGGTACACGCGATTATGGAACGAGTTGAAATTCAAAGCTTTTCTCGAAATCTTGATAGCGCGTCGAGACGAAGCTTTGAAGGAGAACACGATCGGTTCGAAATCAAATAATCGAGACGCGCGCGGGTCAACATGATATATACATCGTCGGAATGGCGAAGGTCTCGCTTTCTACGAAGAGAATCGTTTTATGAGTTCTGCTCTCTTGTTTTATGGCTTGTAGATAAAGCCGAGAACTTAACACAAACATCTCGGCGCAAAGACATCGCGAGCGATCGGGTGCGCAGCGTTTATTTGTACATTCGAAACTCTCGTGATAATTCCGTGCGCGAGAGAGATAAAGTTTTGTTGCATACCTTGGCTCCGTCGTCTTCCTCGTCATCTTCCGGATTGTATGTTTCGGCGAAGACGCTCTTTCTCCTGCTGGCAAATCTGTCGACCGGCGGTTCTGCAAAAGAATTTCATCATTCGTATTGACAAGTGTCGCAGACTGGTGGAAATTTGTTTATTTTTTCTTTTTGTCTAAAACTGGATTTATTTTAACAATCTATTCGAATCGTCTTTCAATTTCAAGTCATAATTCTATAAGATATGCGGTTAAGCATACCCGTTGACCTTCGTAATATTTTACAAAGAGAAAAGTTTTTTATTATATGAATATTATAAAGAAATTTTTTACACAAACAATAATATTATTATAAATATCGGGATGAATAATTCAACTCACAAATGTCGAGGTGGCAAAATTCAATCCTACACTAGGTTAAATTGTTTTTGGATTATTTGGAACACTGTCAGGACGTAAGATACTGCTGATGCAAATGCTTTTAATTCTATGTTATCGCACGCGTTTGCAAAAGGATATACCTGAGAGTGTGTGTACTCTCTTGACTCGATTGAAAAAAAAACAATACGGATTAACAAAACAAGTTGGCAAGTAGTGATTCTCGAAAGAAATTATTGTTGAATTTAAATAATATAAAAGTAATTATGAAGCAGTTTTTAAATAAATATTACGAAATGATAACAATGAATGAGTTTAGAGAATAATGATCATTATAAATTCGCTATAATGAACTGTTACATATTTCAATATATCAACAAAAACAATTGGTTACTCGGAACCATCATTTATACTTTGACTTTAATTTATAAAAAAAATATAAAAAATTGAAAAGTTAAGTATCATTAGTTATAAATGAATTGAAATTACTTAATTCCATTATAAGTGATGAAGGTCGGTGCAAGTGCTAGGCATTTGTATGTGACTGGTTCAAATTATCTTGAAAATCTATTATAAATTAAAAAGTTGTTTTAATTTCAAGACAATGTGCGAATTATTAAAAAAAGTTTACAAATGACACAACAATTTTTAAAATAACAGAAATGCAAAAAAAATTATGACTGTTGAATGAAAATACATAAGAAAAAAATGAGATTGAGTACAAAAATATTTCAAAAAAGTATAAAAAAAAAGTGACGCCAATAATTGATTATTCAATCATTAATTATCAACTGAGACATCATATATTTGAATAACATTGAAATTGGAACTATTCTAAAACTATTGAGTGGTTGTTTGTGAGTGACAAAATTTTGTTTCAACCAGAAACAGCATTCCAGGATTAGTAATATAAATTTATACCTTGATTAAACATCATCACGTAGTAATCAAGTGACTTTTCAACTGAAAATCAAGTAGCAAAACGATCATTTGATGATTTCTTTATGAAGTAGTTGATGCATTTAAAGGACATAAAGATTATAATTCATGTAATGTGTACTGAATTTAATTATTTTGAATTCTTTCGCAATTGTAATTTACATTATTTTTGCTTGAAAAAAAGTAGTGATTGAAATCATTTTGTGAAAAGTAATTTTGAATGGAACTTTATCAAGAAAGCACAGTAGTGGAAAATTCATAATATATTCATTTTTTACCTAAAAAATGCTGATGTACTCTGAAGTGTGGTGATTATGCAGAAACTAAAGCTAACACTGTAATAAAATTATTATTTTGCCTGACACAAGTATCAACGTTTCGTAAGATTATGCATTCATCTTGTAATAATGATGTTTGCATTTCTTTATCTTTTGTGTACCTAAATAATCTCAGTTTTATTCTGCACTGCTATATATTATGCAAATTCGAAATCATATATTTTAATTTCAAAAGTACGTTTTCATTCTTTCGTAAACGTTTATAACTTCAGTTTTGAATAAAATGCCATTGGAATAATTTGCAAAGAAAATTTTTTTTTTCTCTCCGATCAATTTGTACCTCTCGAGTTGAAAGAGTTAGTAATTGTATTAGTGGTTACATCCGGTATAAAGTTGTGCAAAACTGACGTTATACACTTCGTGTCTCGTCGAGCTTATGGAAAATTCGATAAAGCTCCGGATTAATAATCCCCTCACCTTCTTCGACCGATTCATCCGGCGTGGAGGTGCACGTCTGTCCAGACTGGATGAGCTGGTTCTGTCGCGTCTCCCTCAGACGCGTGAAGAAATCAATGGCGTAATCGACGATGTCGTCGGGATGCTCGAGCAGGTAGCTGATCGTGAACTCCAGAAGGATGTCTCTCAACTCGTCCGGTACAGCGATTCGCCTTGCATTACGTTGACTCATCTTAGATGAAAGCGATTGTCCCTCACTGTAAGAATGGAAGCAAGAAGAAAAAAATTATTATTAATGTTGCGCGAGGCCAAGATTTTTTTTCGCGAAAAAAAAAATATGACTTATCGAGCAAATCTTTTTTTAAGATTATAAAACGAACGTAATTTATGTACGCTCGTTTCATGGTTACAATGGCGCACTCAGTACTACAGGTAGAGTCGAGCGAGAGAGAGAATTACGTATAGCTCGTAATGTATAAGCATTAAATAATGAAAAGAACGGAAAAACTATTCAGAGTTCTTACAATAAAAAAAGTGTAAGGAAAACATCATAAAAAAAAGAGAACCGGCAAATATTAATCAATCAATTATGATAAGTCAATACTAAAGCACACTAGAGGCAACAGCATTTCACAACGAGCAAACGAGTTTAAAATTAAAGCTGAACAAATATGAAAATTGGATACGACTCGATATTTTAATATCTAATATGTACAGAAATAAATGGCACGCATACGTCTGCAGGGAACCTGTATTATTATTTTACCTATATATAGCTATTTATCGTTTCTCAAACGTTTGCATTTTTCCGACGACGACACAAAATCGCGCACGGCGAACTGCGTCTTCTCTATTATATTATACGTCGCATAGCGTCTGTCGATGACAACGACGAATAGAGCGCAGAACAAAAAAACCCCGTTCTCTTATTAGCCGATGATGTTTCCGGACTTTCCGCAATTAGTTAGTCGGGAGACAGAGAGAGAGAGAAAGAGCAAAGTGTCAGTGAATATAAACACACTTAGCCTCCGGGGCCTGGGAAAGCCGGCATGGAACATCTGAGCAGATCGTTTTACATTTGCTTATATTACGTACGCGCGCGAATCATTGCGTTCGACCCTTTTTCGCCAGTCACGTTAAATTTATATGGACGCCCCGAGTGCTTTTCGGAACGATTCGGAACGCTTATCCACGCGCGCGCGCGCGTTTATGGAAAAACCTATTTTCAGCCGCGCCCTATGTGTAACTAACTCATAAAGCGGAGAATAAGTTTTACCTCGTGTCTCGTGTAGAACGAGTTTTCCTCTTGTCAAAAATTGAATTCAACATCGCTGTGTATACAGAGTGTTACACTTTAAAGCTGTAGATTTTACACGTGGCGCGAGCGATGTATACAAACAGCCCGCGAAGACGACGACGATCGGTAATAATGTCAAAAAGAGTGTGTGTACTCTTGCAACTCGTTACTATCGTGCGTATACACCTAACGCCTCGAACGAAAAATCATATATGTACATTACGCTCCTTTTTATGCACGCGCGTACGGATGCAATCGCTCGCGGGCTCCGCGTAGCGGCACGTTTTATGTTTCGCGCTCTCTGCGCATTCGCAAAAGTGCGGCCTTTTTCATTGCTTTTCTTATCTTCGAATAACTCTTTTTTTTTTAATGCTCTCGCGTAAAATCAAAAACGATTAAATAGCTACGTATATACGTATGCAAAAGTGTTATAATACGCGCGAGCTTGCGACTGTACACGAGAGTGTTATATCCGTGTGCGTGTGTGTGTATGTGCGCGAAGCGAACAAAAAAAAAAGAGTAAAAAACAAACAACGATACGTCACAGATTGAAACAATAAGTATTAAAAATGCGACCTCGAGTCCCCGGACGAGTGACGAGTATAATTCGCGTAATATATCGATACTTTTTGCTTTTATTAACCCATTACTATTTTTGCTAACGGGGGTTTTTGGACACTAAGAGCGCGTAGCATAAGAAAACAGATGAAAGAGAAACCGAAGCAGCTGTGTATAAATTTTAACTATATAAAAAAAAATAAATCGAGACAGCTATCGGTCTTTAATTGTTTCATTTTTCTCTTCTCTCTCCTTCGAGCCGGTGGCAGAGACGATGACAATAGCAACAACGAGGAATTTTTACAATTAATACAGGATTTAAATTGAATAAAAAGAAAAAGAGAATAAAAATCGCTGCCTCTGGAAAGAATGACTAAATAAATTGTGACGCGATTCGCAATATTTCATACATTATATATTTATAAAGCAGAGATAGAGAGATAGAGAGGCAGGCGGCAGAGAGGACGCGCGCACGAGCGTGGCAAATAAAGACGATAAAAATCGGAGCACGCTATAAGATTTAAAATGGCTTTGTAGCTTTATTTTTTGCTAGGGCACACGCACGCACGTACACACAGTCGGAGAGAAAGAAAAGCAATATATAAGGTATTAAGAGCAAATTAATCGGATGAAAAGTTACAAGTCCAGAGAGAAAGAGAGAGAGAGAGAGACAGCCTATTGAATAACGAAAGAGAGAGAGAGAGAGAGGAAAAAAAGAGGTTGACGGTCATCAAACTGCGTGTGTGCTTTTTTATTATTATATCTATTAAAGAAGCTGCGATGTACGAGTGCTTGATATATATGTAATATAAGGGCGCCTTTCAATTCGCGTATCGTCAAAGTCGAGCCTCTCTATCTCTCTCGACGTAGCAGAACACACAAAAGTGCATGTGCAGTAGCAGCTGCGTGCACCCTCGGAAGCGGCACTGCCTTCTGCTGCTGCTGCTGCGGCAAAGACAACGTCATATACACTTATCTCGGACGCACGTACACTACGTACACCCACCGAGTCGATATATAATAATTTTACAGCGTATGTCCAAAGTTTATACACCGCAAACTTGTAATAGCGCGTATGTCGTAAGATATATGTATCGCGTATAGAGGCAGTATATATGGGCTTGTTGCACACACACACGCGCGCGCTTATACCCAATTAGGTTAAATTGACAGCTCTTCGTATTCGCAAAGATGGTCAGAGAGAGAAGAGAGGAGTCTCCGGCGGCTGCGGCAGGCGTGCACCGTAATAATAATACAGAAAGGAGTCGAAAGCCATAATGTAGCGCGTTTATACGCGCTCGCCTTACCGTGATACATGGAACATCGGAGTTTAACATACAATATAACGCGAAATACTCCGTTGCCAGAGTAGCCTCTCTTATATTATGTGCCTGTATATCTGCCGACTGTTTCTCTTTCTCTCTCTCTCTTTTATACATTTGTAGTACTGTACGTATGTGTGTAGCGAGGCGGTTGTTGATGAGGTCGCGGCTGTTAATAGTGTATATATACGCTTGTTTACACGGCAACAGCAGCGGCAGCAGCAGCAGCAGTGCGATTGCACAAGGCGTTAAGCGCGAAAAAGCTTCAGTTTTTTTTTATGCAATAGCACAGCAAGTAGTAGTAGTAGCAGCAGCAGCAACTCACGGCGCACACTTACTAGCACAACGCCGTAGTATTATAGTAGTAGTAGTAGTAGATAGTGGAAGTAGTAGCAGCAGCAGTGTGTGTACGGCGCGAGCGCGGCGTCACGCATTATTAATCCTCGCATGTGTCAGAGAGTCATCGTCGTCGTTCGTCGTGAAAAGAAGAAGCAGAAGAAAAAACAAGAAAAGGAAAAAAAAAACAAATGAACTGCTCGCGCCCAATGTCGCTCTCTCGCGCGCGCGCTTATTTATTAGCGACGACGACGACGACGATGACGACTGGCCGAGAGTCGCGTTTTAAGCACTCAACGCTGCTGCCGCTACTGCACTGAGTCGTCCTTGTATAATATAATGCCCGTAAACGCGAGAGAAGGAAACACATAGTTTAAGCACAACCATCTACTATACACCTATTTGTAGAAACACGCTGATAAGTACCAAAGAGTAACAATACACGCTAATGTTGCACGGCAAGAAGAGAGATGGGTAAAGCGCAAGTGTAATGTACATGTTCCGCCGCCACACACACACACACACACACACACACACACACACACTCGCACAAACACTATTTATAAAGCTCACAAATAGAGGAAGCTTGCTTCAAGCTAGAACAGCACGAACGCTATTATATTTATATAGGTAAGCACAGAGGTGGTGCCCGAGAAGAGACAAGAAAAAAAAAGCTGTCGCGAGAGAGAGTTAGTAAGGTCGCGAGGCGAGACGAGGGTGATCCCATGAAGCTCCTGTAGTATACACGGTGGATACTGCGAACTTCCAAATATCGTAGCGCGTACGCCGTGCCTCGAGCTATACATGCGTGAGTGCGTGTGTCTAAGGGTATCCAAAATTACTCGTGCGTGCATTACACATATTATACACTGTGCGATGAACAATAATAATGATAAAATTACCTTCCACCCCTCGGCTGGGCCGGAGTCGAGTCCGCGGGCCTAGCCTGGCCAGACTGCGAGCGCGTCAGGGTTGTGTCGGTTGTGTCGTGTACACAGCAGTCCCGTGACTGACGTCGTCGTCTCCGTTTTTATAGATTTATAATAATATATAGCCTTTTTTCTATCTCTCTTTTTTTATTTTACACGATGCACGACGACGTTGATGACGACGACAACAACGACGACGACGATGTATCGTGCTCGTTTTGCTTTTCTTTTCTTTTTTTTTTCTCTCGGCACGAGCACACACGACGTCGACGTAGACTACGACGAGGAGTAGTGACGACGACGAGGAGCAGCAGCAGTGACGACACGAATCCGAAACGCTCTGTGCACGACTCTCCAACAACTATATAGATATATAGATAGGTACGCTGTCCGCCTGCTACTATCTGCGCACACCACTATATAGCACAGACACACTCACGAACCGAGGGCTGGATATATCTCTTCTTCCCCCTTTTCGTTTTTCTTTTTTATCGTACGTTAAGTAACAATAATTGTTTTCGTGTAATGTAGGTGGCACTCGACAGAGAGAGAGAGCGACGACGATTCGCGAGGATTCTTGCACGCAGAGAGCAGCCCTGCACGAAGCACTCGCGGTTATTATCAATGTAGGATTACGTGTGGATTATAATAATATAATCTTGAGTCACGACAGCCGAAGACGGACTATCATGTGTATATAAGTGGAAACGCACACAGCGGAGCAGAGAAACACACGTAGTAGTATAAAGGACTCGCTGATAGAGAGAGAGACACGCACACTTCTTTTTTTCTTTATTATGGCACACTCGGAAAATGCACGAGTGAAAATATAATAAGATTATATTATTATCGCGTGTGCAGGTACACACACGACAACGTTGCACGCACGAGTGAGGCGCAGAGAGAGAGCACAAAACACCGCTGCTGCTGCTGCTGCCTGTCTGCCTGCAGAACAGAGAGCACCACCAGAAAGAGATTGGGATAAGGAGTAGTAGTAGTAGTAGTAGTAGTATAAGTAGTACGTTTTTACGTATGCACAACCGAAGACGAGGTTGCTGCTGCGCGCAGTCAAATTTGCTCGGTAACACACGGACACGGACGTACGTCTATATTATATATAGTGTTTAATCGTCGATATGTGTACGGTCGTCGTCGTCGTCGTCGTCGATTGAAATAACAATTGCGAACGATCGACGCTTCGCCGAGGACGAGGACTGACGATGATTATGATGATTGTATATAGATGCTATATATGCTATATTATCTCTCTGCGAGTTGGTGATGCTCCTCGCGCGCGCACACAACACACACGCACATAAGCACGTATATAATACACACACGTTGAAAAGAGTTTTGCACGAAAAGCCGTGTAGAGAAAGAGAGAGAGAGAGAGACTCTGCGCTGGAAAGATAGATATACACCTTATATTATATCCGCGCGCGCAGCACGCAAACACACGGAGCTTTTATATATTTTATAAGATATAACAAACAATGTATATATTACGTGCTTAATATCACGCAAAAAGAGTCAGCGATAGTATCCAGCAGTTTATGTGTCTCTCCTTCTCGTTGCTGCTGCACAATTCGCGTTTCGAGTGTGCTGCTGTTGCTGCTGCTGCCTCTGTTGTTGCACCGCGCGCGACACCCCGTGTACGAAATGTGCGCGAATCAATTGTCGTCGTCGACGACGATGACACACAGACACACACACAACAGTCGCGTGCGCGCATTCACAGTAGTAGTACACAACCTAGCACCGTCTGCTGCTTATACTCGATATAATGCGAAATATAGAGTGAGAGAGATATTTTTATTTTATTGATAATGTAGCACACAAACGCGCACACACCAATCGCTCGCACTGACTCGCGGCCGAGAGCAGTAGCACACAGCACACGGAGAAGACGACTCGCGCGTGTGCGGGCAGAGCGGAGCAGGCAACGGGCAGGCAAGGACTATCTATTTCTCGGCTCGCGCGCGCGAAGCTGACGGCAGGCAGTAGCAGGGAGCAGCAGCCACACACAAATACACTTATCAACGTGTGTGTGTGTGTGTGTGTGTGTGGATGTGGATGGGTACATACATACACACTCGGTCTCGGTGTGTAAAGTAGTCTACTGCTACTGGCTACACAACATGCCTCGCTGCTGCTGCTGGCTGCTGCTCTCCTCAAACGTCATATATACATACAATTTCACCTCCTCTCTTTCGCACGCTCGCCGTCTCTTTCTCTCCGCTTATGTGTATCGCATATGCTGCTCCTACCCCCAGGGAGACTTGGCTCTCTCGAAGCCAGCCCGACCGAAACTCCGTGCTTCGTTGCTGTGTATGTATATACGCTGCGCACACTGACAGCAAAGTCAGGCAGGCAGCTTTTTGCCGAGGATTATCGCGCGCGGAGAGACTGACGCGTGCACTGGTGGGTAACACACCTACGGGCTACGTATAAGATTGGAGGTTAGAACTCGTTGCCTCGTAAATATGCGTGCGTACATCCATCAACACCGTGACATAACAAAACGCGCGTGTGTAGGTACGGCATATAATAACCATAATAATGAATTACGCACACGATTACCAGTCGCTCTGGAGGCGGATCATATTGGATTCGGCCTGCCCCCCCCCCTGAGTAGTACTTATCAATCGAGTATCGGCGGCTAGGCGACGAGGCAGCTTGCACCGTGGCGCCTGTTTATTGATTTTCTTAGCTGACAAATTGGACTTTGCGATCTTCGAGCACCTGTAATTTTATAAATATAGAATAGGTGGTGTGCACATGGGAAATTCAGGAGACAGCTTGTTTACCGACAGATATAGGTATACCGCGTCAATCTCAACTGTCCTGGGTGTTGAAAACAATTTGGCGCTGATTCAAATCGCGAATTATAAATCCGGTTTCGTTTTGAGGCCCGTCAAACGTCAAACACCAACTTCGGGAAAATTGTAAAAAATTTCTGTGGATTGGAGGTGAATACGATTCTAAAGCTTGGTTTTAAAATCAACTCGTCTTTGAAGAGAGAAGAAAATGTGATCAACTCCCTTTCGTTCCTGTAAATATTTCAAACAAACGGTTTTAAGTTCGATCGTGAATCAAATGAAAAGAAATAGTTATAGATGCGATACAATTATTTCCAATCTTGAAATAGAAATGAGATTTTGAACTTGCTTGGTCGATCTACGAGTACAGCTAATTTTCCATGCGAAGATGAGCTAGAAAATGCCGCTACAACGATTCGCGTTTATACATATTGATTGATGATTGATATTTCAATTGCGACGCTAACTTCGCAGTTCTCACAAATCGCTCTTCTCCTCGCCGTTGCACTTAACATCCCGGGACGGTAATCCCAAATTTGCATTTGAAACAGTCTTTTCGTCGACTTTAAAAAACCGCCTTGCCTTATGCAGCTCGGGTAATACATGATCCTGTAAACGGTAACGACGATTTCTGCCACGTTTTTCGCTCGCGATTCGCGCGCTGCAGATCGTTCCGACACCACGCGAGAGTCGCTTCGTAAGTTGAAAACAATCATGTTTTAAGGTTTTTTGTTTTTTAATGTAATTTCATCGACGATTCTCGCGTCGTTGGAATACCTGTCACTTCTTTGTCTACATTTTTTAGCGACGCACGCGAACGTAAATGAAAAACTGAGACCCCGAAAAGGATATCAGCGTCGCGAAGTCGAAGATCGCGCGCTTTATTATAGAGTCGCTCTCTGCCACGCGGGGACCAAGTCAAGCTCCTGTAATTACAATAATAATAACAACAATATATAGGCTGCTGGGTAAAAATCCAAGTAACACCACGCACAGTGAAATGGTCGCGCAATTTTCCATAGTAAACACGGGCTCTACCTATAATATATGCGCCGTACCTCTCTGCCGCGGGCCCAGCGGGTGCGCAGTTATATACACCTATATATAACGTATAACAGAGATATATAGTGAATGTATACACGCGAATGAAAGAAAGACTATTTATTTTTAATATAAAAAAAAAACAATAAGTTTGTTGCGCTGTTGCGAATCGATCGTTTATACGAAATTTTGCATTTAAGTTCGCAACAGTATCGCGCACAAAACAAAGTGAGTATATACAAGTGCGGCAGTACAGGCGTACGTACGAGGATAGCGTATGTGTGCGAGTGTGTGCAGACGGTCGGCGGCTGTAGGGCACGATATATGTATATACGGCATAACTGCAGTGTGCAGTGCACCAAGTGTTTAACAGCGAGAAAGAGATAGATATAGAGAGAGAGCCGAGAAAGAGAGAATAAGAGCGAGAGCAGGAGAGACAATAGGCCGAAGAATCATCCTCGGTATCACGAATCACGTTTTTCTCCATCGTTTCGGGCCTCGCTACCTTATCGAAAATTTTAATTTTTGTACACTTGGAGCTTGGTGTTGAACTGTTCGAGTGTAGGTATTCCCCTGTTGTTGGTGGCCGTGCGTGCGTGAGTGCGTGTGTGTATACCGTTTGCCTTTATATATACGCGCGTGTAAAGTTGTGTATATGCCGTTGCGTGCCGAGTTATAGTGTATGAAAGAAAGAACAATCGAAAGGCGCCACGATTTTTCGACTTCAATTTCGTCGCATTTCTTGTGTAATTCGGGCCAACGCAAGGTATCATAATAATCACATACGGCATACACGTAGCTGTGAATCGCGTTTATATGCTAGATTAGGACGATATGCCGATGAGGCTTTACCGAATGAACTGTCAGCGCGTATGTGTATACGAGAACATGTAGGCCAGCGGTCGCCGTCTAACTATACTTCATAACACGCACGTCTTCTCCGCCATCGTCGTTAACACTCTTACACCAAGCTTTTATCGACATCTCATCGACGCGTATCCTCTCTTATACTCGATGCTTGACTTTGGATGTGTGTAATTTCTCTCGCGTCTTCGGAGAGAAAACTTTTTTGTCAGCGTGAGTGAGCAAAAAAAAAAAAACAGTGAAGCGATCGCGTGAGCTCTGGAGTGTGAGTGTTTGCGCGAGTTCTGTCTCTGTGCGTGTGTTGTTGTTGTGTTATACTCGCGGATTGCCAATGAAATATTATAGTCAACAACGAGTGTATAACTCACTGACCCGGCCGCATATATTCAAGTTATAAAGTTCAGGTGCCGAATCGCATTGTTTACTACATCGTGATAACATTTTCGTGCACAATTCTGCTCGTTGGGAACGTTCACAAAGAACTGATAGTTAAATGCTCGGTGCTTAATGAGTTAATCTCTCGAATGTTTCTTACTTCCAGCTCGTTGCTTTCATTCATTTTTTCTCCCACCCTCGCTCCGTGTATCAGCATTCGGGTTCAGCAATTTTCACGAATCTTGCACATTTTTCGCACACAAGCGTTACTCGTTCTGGATGTTTATGGGTTGAGTGATCGATTGCTCGGTAACGTAGCGAAATTAAATGCAAAGTTTTTGTGTACCCACGTGAGCTCGGCAAAAAGTTGCTCAATCGCAACAACAATAATAGTTGGGGGGGGACAGAGAATTGTCAAATTATAATATTTTTTTTTTGCAAAGAGTTTAAGTGGTAATAGGAGTAATTGGTTGAATGTTATATAGTATTAAACAAAAAAACAAATTGAATATTCTAATGATGACAAATGTTTGTTTTTGTACAGATTCATTCTGCCGTTGTAAACTTGATGCACTTCAGCCTGCCAGGTTACGTTTCTAACAGGACTGAAATTCATTGTCTGCGTTGGGGTCAATGATTAAAAGGAAGAATAAAGTGTGTCCACCAACTTCAATTGCATAGGGCACTGTTATTCAAAATGAAGAGCGCTTTGCCAAAAAAGGAGAGCAAAATGCGCATCAGAGCATTTCCAGTAAGTAACTTAACTTTGATACAACAGTTAATTGAAACGATAACTTTTGATAGAATCACATGTTATTGTGTTTAATTCATAAGGTGCATGAGCGAATTTTAACTATGAAAATAATAAACTATTGCATAAAATTGTGGGACCACACTGTATGCATTGTTTTGATTCTCAAAGTAAATGATTGAAATAAAGAGGTTATGCATTTTTTGCTCAAAAGTGTAATCCCCTTGGAAACTAAATAACATGAACACAATGATGTGAACATGCAGATTTTCAGATTTTATCTCAAAAAATAATAAATAATTTGGTTAAGTTTTCCTCTAAATTGCAAGTCTATAAAACTAAAATCATAACTATGCATTAACAGTTGTCATTTATAATTATTTACAGTTTGTTATTTATGAATGTATTTATTTGATGAATTTTAAAATGTCTCACACAAGTTAATATGTACATCAAAAAGAAGAAAGTTTAAAACCTGAAGGGTTACACTTTGTCAATAATTTTTAAATTTCACAAGTGTTTATTCACATATTGTACCAATATGAATCATACGCGATTTACTGAATCTACATTTCATAACTCTAGATCATTAAATTCTAAGAATAAAGATACAAGAGCTATGAAAACTAAAACAAACACTCCTTTTATGATAACTGAGCGACTAGTGAGATTGTTGCATTTGATTTAGTTTGTATTTAATTGATATTACATGTTTTTTTATTTTACAGACATCTATGGATGAAAGATATGTTGAAAACATCTGGAATCTTCTGAAAAGCGCCATACAAGAAATACAGAAAAAAAATAACTCTAGTTTAAGTTTTGAAGAACTTTATCGTAATGCTTACACTATGGTTCTTCACAAATACGGTGAAAGACTTTACACTGGCTTAAAAGAAGTCATAACTCATCATTTGGTGACCAAAGTTCGAGTTGATGTTTTAGAGTCTTTACACAATAACTTTTTACAAACATTAAATCAAGCGTGGAATGATCACCAAACATCCATGGTCATGATCAGAGATATCCTTATGTATATGGACAGAGTTTATGTTCAACAAAATAATGTGGACAACGTTTTTAATTTAGGATTAATCATATTTCGTGATCAGGTAAGTTAATTCTTAATTTTTCTATTCAAGTTTTTTATTATTACATTGAAAATATTGAATGCTCAAAGTAAATAAATTTATTAAAACCGTACATTTTTCATTATCTCAGGTTGTTAGATATGGCTGTATAAGAGATCATTTAAGAGACACTTTATTAGGCATGGTTGCAAGAGAAAGAAGAGGAGAGATTGTTGATCGTATATCTATAAAGAATGCTTGCCAAATGTTGATGCTCCTTGGAATAAATAGCCGCCAAGTTTATGAAGAAGACTTTGAACGTCCCTTTTTACAACAAAGCAATGAATTTTATAAAATGGAGTCGCAAAAATTTTTAGCAGAAAACAGTGCATCAGTATATATAAAACAGGTAGAAGCTAGAATTACAGAAGAGTCAGAAAGAGCAAAACACTACTTGGATGAGTCTACAGAGCCAAGGATTGTAGAAGTTGTTGAAGAAGAATTGATCAAAAAGAATATGAAAACCATTGTTGAGGTAAAGCATTAATTGACATTAAAATAGTTTAGTAATCTTTAATTTTTGAAAAGAAGATTAAAAGAAACTTACTCTTGTATATCTTTCAGATGGAAAATAGTGGAGTTGTACATATGCTACAAAATTTCAAAATTGAGGACCTTGGTTGCATGTATAAACTTTTTTCAAGAGTAACGGATGGATTGAAAACCGTTTGTGATTGTGTATCAAATTATTTGAAAGAGCGAGGACGTGCATTGGTCCAAGAAGAACAAGATCCTGGAGCTAATGCAGTTCAATTTGTACAAAACTTATTAGACTTAAAAGATCGATTTGATCATTTCCTCCATCGTTCATTTAACAATGATAAACAGTTCAAACAGATGATTGCATCTGACTTTGAATCATTTTTAAACATCAATGCCAAGAGTCCTGAGTATCTATCGCTTTTCATTGATGATAAATTAAAAAAAGGAGTCAAAGGCGTTAGTATAATTTTATTTTTATATTTTACAAAATAACCGAGTATAAAAACTTATATATGATGTTACTTCAGATGTCTGAACAAGAAATTGAAGGAATATTGGACAAAACAATGGTATTATTCAGATTCCTCCAAGAAAAAGATGTGTTTGAGCGATATTACAAGCAACATTTGGCTAAAAGATTATTGCTCAATAAATCCGTTTCTGATGACAGCGAAAAGAATATGATATCAAAACTAAAGGTTTGTATGAAAATTTGCATGAACTGCTGTGTAAGCTAACGCGAATTTGGCCACTTGTATATTTGAATATTCAGAAACAAGGAGCAGTCAACATCGACATAAATATCCTGCTTGCTATACGAACACTGAATCCTGATCCTCTAAAAGATTCATTGGGTTATTCATTTTTAATAGAATAGTTGATTTGAGTAATTGAGTTGATTGAATTGTTGATCATTCCCTCGTAGCTGTGATGGAATTATTGATGATTTTATGAGTTTCATTGAGATTCAATATTAAGATTTACTAGTTATTGCTTTCTTTTGTATGTTTAGACTGAATGTGGCTGCCAATTTACGTCCAAGTTGGAAGGAATGTTTAAAGATATCACAGTTAGTAATACAATAATGGATGAGTTTAAAGAACATGTATCCGCTGTTGATGTAAGTTTATGCTTGATATTTTAATTACATATCTGCCCCTTAATGATACTGAATCGAAAATATTTTTTAGGCTTCATTGAGTGGTGTTGATTTGAGTGTGCGAGTTTTAACTACGGGTTTCTGGCCAACACAAGCAGCTACGCCCAAATGTAGTATACCCACCGCACCGCGAGGTGCCTTTGAATCTTTCAGACAATTTTACCTTGGAAAACACAGTGGGCGACAGTTAACTCTTCAACCACAGCTAGGTTGATATTACAATTCTTTTCTAGTTCTTAGCAAGTATGCACTTGTATAATCTAATGTATTTTCAGGTTCTGCGGATCTCAACGCAACGTTTTACGGCAGTAAAAAAGAAGATAATTCTGTCGAATGTCCGTCTTCTTCCACTGGACTTAGTAACGGTAGCAGTCTGCGAAGCGGTGGATCTGTGCCTCGAAAACACATTATTCAAGTTTCTACTTATCAAATGTGTGTTCTCATGTTGTTCAATAATCGGGAAAAATGGACCTACGAGGAAATCCAAAATGAAACTGATATTCCTGAAAGAGATTTAATAAGGGCATTACAATCATTGGCCATGGGCAAAGCCACTCAAAGAGTGTTGCTGAAAACTCCAAAAACAAAAGAAATCGAGCCAACTCATGTATTTAATGTAAATGATAATTTTACAAGTAAACTCCACAGGTAATATAAAATTGTTTTTTATTGTTTAATTGTTTATTACGTTGCTTACTGTATTATATCGTTTTACTTTATTATTGTGTAGAGTAAAAATACAAACAGTAGCTGCCAAAGGAGAATGTGAGCCTGAACGAAAGGAAACAAGAAGCAAAGTTGACGAGGACAGGAAACACGAAATTGAAGCTGCAATAGTTCGAATCATGAAAGCTCGGAAGCGTATGGCAGTAAGTTTTCACATCATTGTCTCATTTTTCAGTATTTTTGGTAACATACATAACATATTAAACTCGTATTATTTTCCAGCACAATATCCTTGTTACTGAGGTGACGGATCAATTGCGAGCAAGGTTTTTACCTTCTCCGGTTATTATCAAAAAACGTATTGAAGGTCTAATCGAACGTGAATATTTAGCTCGAACACCCGAAGACAGGTTGGCAATTTTGACATGACACTATTTATAAAAAAAAAAATTCAATACAGATCTAACTTGAAAAATTTCTACTTTTACAGAAAAGTTTATACATACGTTGCTTAATCTTGATAAAAAAGATTTGTACAAACATGTAAGTAAAATTAATTGAAATTAATTACTATCATTGTATCTCTAATGATGGCACCAACGAAGGTTTTAGAGTTCAAGACTCTGGATTATAAATTTCTTTCTTTTCTCCAGGTATGAGAGGGTTCAGGAACGCAAACCCAAAACATCTTGAAGAGATAATTTATAAGTTAAAAAGTTAAAAAGCACTGTCATAAGAAATAATTATAATAGATCTTAACAACTATATGAAACACCTAGTTTTTAAATCCTTGCTCAATTCCTGAATTAACATGTTTTTTTTTTATTTTATCGTATGTTATTGTGACGACGTTTCAAACAATATAAAGTCTTTTTTTCCATAAATATTTTACTCTTTTTATTTAGCCAAAAAAAAGCAAAAAAAAAGCAGGAAAATTTTTTAACTCTAAAAGTATTGGACTGTACAATTATACCTTAATATATTTATACAATTATTGCATCAAATGTAATTTTTTTAAAAACACATTTGTATTGTAATGCTTTGAAAATTCTATGTAGCAACGAAAGAGGGAGAGAAAAAGAAAGAAGTGATGGGGTAGAAGAAATTTTTTATTCGAAATTCACTAATTCTGCAATAAAGCGTCTTTTTTCATTTTTACAATTGCAATAGAGTTCGTATATTTTTCACCAACAACCACAATAACTTCGTTGAATAAGCAAACTAGATAAGAAACAACCACGGATCAAATCCATATTATTTCGACAGATGTCGAACTGTCCCGAGGTAACATTTCGAATTTCATTAATTTGTAAATGTACCAATTACATCAGCCCCAGTATCGGGCGTATCTACTTATCAGTCATAACGATCGATGTGTCGGAGTTTCATCGATTTATACATAGCGTATCAAGCTCTGAATAGCATCGCCAGCGGAGTTCGTTTATTATACACGAATATATAATCTCGTTCTATATTTCGATTTGATAAAATAAAGAAAGAAAGAAAAAAAGAGTATACGGCCCCGCTCGTGGCTTTATCTCGCTTAGATGTTGTTTTTTTTATACTCGACCAATGATTCTCGCTCAGCTATTATGTACTTCGAAAATTTCCGCGCGCCTCGTAAGATACAATCGGTTTCCTTGACTCGCAGTTCTCATCCGCGACCGCCAGCAGCTGCTGCACTCCTCCACTTTACTACTGTGCCTCTCGCTGCGTCGCGCGAATTCGTCTGCTACGTTAAAAAAGTCACGCGCACACCTTGCCACGTTCCGGCGAAAATAGACTATCTATAGCTATTTCATACGGAGTCGCGGTGTAACGAGCGTGTTTTTTGAGTTGTTTTTTTGCTCTCATTTTCGAAAAGAGAAGGACAAAAAAATCGAGCTTCGTAACGGTGAAGTGTCGGTGTCCGGACTTGGATCTCTCGTTTTATTTTTTTTTTTAAAGCTATATACTCGAGCGGTACAGTGTCGACTCCGATCCTCTCGCGGACAGTCGCAGTGAATCTCGGACGAATCTTACGAAATTGCCATTCTCCGTCGCGCGTGTGTCTGTCTGTGTGCGCGTCTGTCAAACATATACAAGAGAAAAAATACAGCTCCCCTCCAGTGACTCTGTGTGTGCGTGTTCTTCTGTAATCGTTTGCGTCTCGCGCCCCGCCGCACACGCATACACGCACGCAATAGTGTACAGTAGCCTGTATATATAGTCAAAAACACAACGATGGCAGCGCCAATGCTGGCCGCGTCTTTGCCGGCACTACAAGCCTCGTCGTCGTCGCCTCTTCAACAGCTTTACAAGCGCACATTCGCGACTGCTCTGTCCCGTTATCAACAACAGCAGCAGCCGAAATCAAAGCAGTGCCTTAATACACGCCAGACAGCTGGCAATATTCTCTTCGCGAGCAGTGGTCGCAGTAGTAGTCGACTCGTTTCAGCGAATTTAGTCTCCTCCGGACTGCCGGCGGCGAATTTTTCATACCTGCACAGTAGACACTTAGCCACGAGCGCAGCTGCAATGGCCAAGATTAAGGTAAGCTTACCCTGTTTGTATTATTGTGTATATCCTATTATATTGACGTCTAGTCCATTCGTCCCTTTAAAAATGTCGTCTAGCCTGTCTATCTATTATTATATACGAGGGAGCTTTAAATCGTCGGGGCGTGTGTTGTGTGTATTTATGTAGCCGGTCAAGAATTTCGATACTTCATTGTGTACACTTATATCTACATAGGCATTGCTTTCGGAGCTAGCGGAGGTGTGTCTCGTCGCGTCATACTTTGAAAATAATAATAACACGAAAAAAGGAAAGGTGAACACTTTTTGGCACAGGGCCCCTACTTCTCGGATTCGGGAGCGAGAGGCTCGTTTCAACGCGTATTAATTTTTTTTTTTTTTTTGCTTCTTCTCTTCTGCCCGTCTGGTTCTGTACGTATAAGTATAACGGTAATACTTACACACGAATGTACCCATGGCTCCCGAGTATAAAAGTGCTTTCAAGTTCATTGACACAATCGTACGATATAATATGGTCGCGAAAGGGAGTCGTGTCACTTCCAATCGATACACGTACCAACGTGTGTACAACGCCGGGAAAGATCGATTTTTTCTACCGTTTCTACACTATAAGTTATGCACACGTTCAAGAAAAAAAACACATAGTTACACGTAGGCCCGTATAGACGCGCGCGAATGGAAAATAAGCCATTTATACATATTAACATTTTGTCGGAGGCACGCGCGAGGCCAGCCAACCGCACACACTCACCGATTTTACATTGAACTTTAATGACAAAAAATTATACAGCCGGCGGCGGCAGTGGTTTGTGTGTTTAAACATTCAGACTGGATGAGATTGCAGAAAATCGTCAATATAATATGCAGACACACTTCTCATGCCTATATACATATGCGAGACGAGTCAAGTGACATACTCATGCTCGTATAGGTAAAAAAAAAAAGTAGTCACAATAATAATGATGATGATAACAATTTCGATATCTCTCGACGTGCCTTTTTGTCGGGTCACTGCTCGCGACAGCAATCGATGATGATGATGATGACGATGACGACGACGACGATGACTGCGGTTAATTAAACTTTTTTTTTGTCGTTTCCTTATCTCTCGAGTGCGCGAGGTCTGCAGATTTTCAGAGATTCGCACGCTATTTAATCGTCAAGGATAGATAAATAAATAAATCAATATACGAGATGAATTATTTGCGCAATTTTTTCGCGCTCTTTCCTCGTATTCTGCTAATAATATAATGTAATATGGAAATCCTTTCTCTCCAACTAATATTCTATCGTAATGCGGTATGCTTGATCGCAACACGCGCGTGCATAACGAACGAGAGAGAGAATTGCATGCGGCAATTATCGAGTTGTTTTCCCTCTTTTTTTTTTTATCGATTATTACAACACCGAGTTACAAGTGCAACGCGTGGTGCATGTATACATCACGTTTAAGCGATGTAGAAGGAATTTCTTCACTGTTTATTCTCGTAAATTAGTCGATAAAACGTTGTGCTATGATGTATACAGTTAGTATAGTAATCTTTCGTTCCCCTTGAATTTAAAATTAGCATTTTGGTAAATAACGCATCTCTCTATTTCTTTTATCAGTCGTTATCTCGGTATATACAGCGGTGTATTCATCTGTTTTGAAAAATGATACACACACTCACAATGGTGCCTCTTGTACTCACAAACATGTTTTTTTTCTCATAGACCGGACCCGTGGTGGACGTCCTCGGCGACGAGATGACCCGCATCATCTGGGACCTGATAAAGCAGAAGCTGATCTTCCCCTATCTCGACGTCGAGCTGCACACGTACGACTTGGGCATGGAGAATCGCGACGCCACCGACGATCGCGTCACCGTCGAGTGCGCCGAGGCCATCAAGCGCTACAACGTCGGCATCAAGTGCGCCACCATCACGCCCGACGAGAAGCGCGTCGAGGAGTTCAAGCTCAAGAAGATGTGGAAGAGCCCCAACGGCACGATACGCAACATCCTGGGCGGCACCGTGTTCCGCGAGGCCATCATCTGCAAGAACATCCCGAGACTCGTGCCCGGCTGGGAGAAACCCATCATCATCGGCCGTCACGCCTACGGCGATCAGTACAAGGCCACGGACTTCCTCGTGCCCGGACCCGGCAAGCTCGAGATCAGCTGGACCGGCGCCAACGGCGAGAAGATCCAGCACGAGGTGCACCAGTTCACCGGTGCCGGTGTGGCCCAGGCCCAGTTCAACACGGACGAGAGCATACGCGCCTTCGCCCACAGCAGCTTCCAGTACGCCCTGAACCGCAAGTATCCGCTCTATCTGTCCACGAAGAACACCATCCTGAAGCAGTACGACGGCCGCTTCAAGAACATCTTCCAGGAGATCTACGACGCCGAGTACAAGGCCAAGTTCGAGGCCGACGATCTCTGGTACGAGCACCGGCTGATCGACGACATGGTCGCCTACTGCATGAAGTCCTCGGGCGGCTACGTCTGGGCCTGCAAGAACTACGACGGCGACGTGCAGTCCGACACCGTCGCCCAGGGCTACGGCTCGCTCGGCCTCATGACCTCGGTGCTGGTCTGCCCGGACGGCCGCACCGTCGAGGCCGAGGCCGCCCACGGCACCGTCACCCGCCACTATCGCATGCACCAGCAGGGCAAGGAGACCTCGACCAATCCGATCGCCTCGATCTTCGCCTGGACCCAGGGACTGCTGCACCGCGCCAAGCTGGACGACAACGAGCCCCTGAAGAGATTCGCCCAGACCCTCGAGAAGGTCTGCGTGAGCACCATCGAGTCCGGCTTCATGACCAAGGATCTCGCCCTGTGCATGAAGAAGCAGGAGGACCTCAAGCGGTCCGACTATCTCAACACCTTCGAGTTCCTCGACAAGCTCGCCGAGAATCTCGAGAAGAGCCTGAAAGAGTGACTGATTAGCCGCGAGAATCACGAATCGGTCGTTGTAATGCGTGCCAAGTATTGATTTATTGTGGGCATACGCACGTACACACACACACACACAAATACATCGTGCTCATTCAATGAGGTGGATGGTGAATTATTTTTTATCGAGAAAAGAGCCTATTATGTCGTCGTTATTATATGTACGGAGATATAAATGTTTAATTATGATAATAATGGCATCGTGGATGATCAAATAATTGTATATTAAGACTTATTGATGCATTTATGTTCGTGTGCGAATTTTTTGCATAATTATTGTAGATTTATACTTTTATGAAAAGCACAAGTGTTTTGCCCGTTTGTGCGATACATGTTATAAGAAAATTAATGTATATTTTTTAATTGTAATTGTATCAGTGATTTCAAAATTATTAATACAGTTTTATTTTATTTTAAATCTGCGAAGTTTCATTTTACATTGCTTTACAATATTTTTCATTTAATCGATTCGTTTGTTCGAGTTCGCCTGGCGCTTGTGCCGGGGAATCCGTTATTTTCTTCTCTTTTTACACATGCAAGCCAAACATTTCGAAATTAATATAGAGATAGCGCCTCACGTTTCGTTTTGTTTCATCCGCTGCTGCAGGCGGCGGCGCTACCGATAATACGCGCGTCGCTCGCGATGTATAAAGAGACGAATTGATGAAACGAGTCAATTAATCTTATTAACAAAGCGATGAAGATAATTTGTATCAAAGTGTATCAATGTTCCCGCTTAGTCGGTATACGATCGAATTATTTCGAGGATACTTTTAACCGTGATCAGTTTCAAGTAATAAACCAATCGCGTTAAAATACGTGCTGCCCGTACGCAAGTTCAATGTGCTTGCAAAAATATGACATTATGTCAGAATATATCAACCAATCATACGATTATGAAAATTCTCTCAGGATTTTTCACGATTTTAGATTTCACGACAGTAAAGAATTAATATATACACTTATAGAGCAATAATTGAATTAGAAAGCTAGAAATGGGCATTACTCTTAGGGCTTTTTTATTTCATCTATAATAATGCGTACGTGTACCTCTCGTACTTATGAATTTAATTTCTTTTACTGAGATAAAGTAGTAATTTTTTTAGCTCAACATGAATTAATTTCTTAAGCAAACTGATCGGTATTAAAGTGTTTCTGTGACTGAGTAAGCAACAGCCGCAGGCGTCATCAACCACCCACCCCCTGCTCCGATATTATGACGGTCAATTAATTATTTCGACACTTTTCTTTAACATTCGGGAACTAATTTACTCAATATACGAGATATTATGAAAAGACAATCGAGAACTCAGCGTTTACGTATGCGACCGTATCGATGTTTTTTGCAGATATTTATCTTTTTTTTAACAGATGATTTGTCTAACTTTTTCATCAGTGTGGAGCTATAATCTTCAGTCTAGCGTGAATACATTACTTTAACTTCTTGAGGATTTGGATTTAATCGATGAACTGATCGTAAATTACGGAATATTCATTCATTCCAAACTTACTTATTTTGGTAATTAGTGATCAATGTGCGGATAGGCCAGATATACTGCGCTTGTTGACGACTGTAATTTAACTGTTTCTAGATCGATTTTTGAATTATGTTTCAATGAAGACAGTTACGACTACATAATTAAGCGTAACATACATATCAACGTATTTTCATTTTGTTTTTCACATTTACCCTCGTGATTTATGCTCCCTGACAATGTTACCGATACATTCTGAGTACCGATTCTCGCTGCGTAAGCTATTTTCGTACCATGATAAACGTATGTATCAATAGTCCGCTCGCGGGCCGTTTCACCTACCTTCAGACTCACAACGGTGCACACGGACTATTCGTCTGCTGGCTCTACGCCGAAACGAACCCCCGAGAGCGTGGCAAGTATTGCAGGCTTCCAGATTGACCGCTAGGTGGCGTATCCTAAGAAATTCGTACCCTCAAGTGGTAATCCACTTTTCAGGATAGAAGTATAAGTGACTTCTCTTATTGAAACGGGTGTTATTTTTTTGCTGTGGTTACTATATCAGTTTGACTATATCGTCTTTTTCACTAGAACCTGGAAGTATTTTTTCACGATTGCTGTAAAATGGTGGAAAAATAATTGAGTTTTCATGAAATTTTTGAATTTGTGCTATTCGTGTTAACATTTTTACGTTGGTTGTTTTCAAGCTCATGACTGATCATTGAAGCATCGTTGTTATGCGCATCTGAAAAATATGGCCTTTGAATATCTAATATATATCCGTCCGGAGCGACAACTGGAGCTCGCTTCACAAGATGTTGTCTTTTGTGTCGACAGTATGTTTGTCACAAACTCCTAAAATTTTTACTATTGAAGCAGTAAGTGTATGTCCCGTCAATGTAGAATATTGCCACGCGATTTTCTGGAGTTGGATTATATAATCGATTGGCGAAGTCAGTCACGTGCCTCTCAATGTACTGCTCTCTTGTGATAGCTCCAAGTCCAATATTATTTGGAACGAATCTTTTCATTCTCGCGCCTCTCTTACTTCTTCGATAACTGGAGACGTATATTGACGACTTGACAGCTGAAAGATCGCAGTGAGAAACTCGTCTGACAATCTTTGACACATTTTTGTCAAAAAAATTAATAAATCTCGCTTTATTACTACGCGCCTGTCTGGGACACGGTCACACAGCACATGCATATCGCCGAACTGCTGTTTAGTTAAGCTTGTCAATACACAGGCATGATGATCTGCCAGATCACATACGTGGTTAATGTTTTTACTCTCATTTTTTCCATGAAGCGTATCACGTATTGGCCTGGAGGATTGTAGGCGCGTTTAAAAGAGCGGAGATCAGCCAGCAATGGTGGCAAGATGTATCCAGATGCCGTGGACAACATCTAACTGTCTCCGGGAAAAAAATCCCACACTGGACATATATCTCGACTTTACAGTTCAAAGATAATCGTGCAGCATTGCGACCTTGACACTAGCAGCAAGTATTATTATCTCGCTGGAATAATACCTTTACTCGCATGCAAGTCGGATCTCGTTGTACGAGATCAATCTCTTGGCGGATGCTATGATTGCAATTGAAGCCTTTTCGCCTGTCCTGTTCGATGACTCGAGGAACTTGTACAAGGTCTCTTTCCTTCTTCGCTTCTTTTTTCTTTTCCTCCATTTTTCTCTTAGCCATTTCCCTTTTTTCCAATACTCTTCTAATGTGCTCCATTCTCCTTTCTATTTCTAACTGCATAGCTTGGCTATTGGGCTTCGAATAGTATTTAAGCTCCTTCTCGTTTCTCGCCGCCCCAACACCGAACACATTGATCCACGATGGCAGCTCATCGGGTAACCGGAAGGCTAAATATCTGAAAATGCAAAAAAAAGTTAGATGGGTTCTGTGCTGATGTAATTTTCGTCGGTTCAAAGACAGGTACGAATTGCTTTATTTTTCCTGAGTTGAAAAGTAAGTTTTATTCAAGGACTTTTTCTCCAACAGAGCAAAAGACTTACAATGCATACTTTTTAATTTGAAACAAAAAGTCTGTCAGTATATAATTCTACTCCGATATTATGATAACAGAGCAAAATTCTTTCGATAAAAGGAAAATCGAGGTGGATGGTCGAAGTAAAGCGTGATCAGAGAATGTGTTTTCATAGTTTTTAATGTAAATAATTGAAACATTACCATAAATTATCGATAAGTTAATATCGCTTTAGAACGATAGAGGCTAGACAAAAATTAGTCGTGTTGCAGTCGTTTCAGGCGCGCATATGAATATTCGTATCCTGATCTTGGATCTACGATTATAAATGGATTTTACCGACAATTGCTGTTATGGAGGTGTGCAATCAAATGGAGATATTTTGTCATGTGAATTTCTCCACTTCTAGGCTGCACGTTGATAACAGAAGCAGTAGAGTAACAAAGGACGAAAAAGATTTTCAGCAATTATCAAGTTAGCATATCAACGCTTTTGATATTTCAGAGAATTTCAGTAAGTATTCAAGAGTAAGGTGATATGAAAAAGTATCTAGCTTATGAATTCTCGCTAATCCCGTTGGCTCTATTCGATGAAAATGGCATACGCAAAAATGATAAGCCCTTATTTTATACCAATTTTATAGGCACCGAAAACATTGACACTAGTTCTGTGACATGCGTAATCGATGGAGAATATTTATTGTACCTACCATGTCAAATGGCTTGACAAAGAAGTAATTGGAAATATTATAAAAAAGTATGTGTCATACGTGGTAGATAAATATAAGCCTCGTTCGTTAATTATTTTTGATGGATACTTAGATGATGAGTTGTCTACGAAATCTGTTGAACGTTTTCGTCGAGACATTGTCAACATGAGTACAGGCGATCCCCGTTTTACGCGGATCCGATATACGCGGTTTCACGATAACGCGGTTTTTTAAATGCGGCTTTGTCCATTTTACGCGGAAATTTGTTCCAAAATAACGCGGTTTTTTGATAAATTCACGTCGAACATGCAATTTTTTGTTTTTATTTATAGTACGTTCAAAGTGGTGGTAATTTTAGCGAAGGCAAAAATATAGACATGTTGCTCTGTCACGTCTTTTTAACTATCTCATGTTGAACGAATTCATGAATTCGTTATTTGCTAAGAAGGATGTAAAAAATTTCAACTCATATATGAAGGTGTACGAAATTAAGAAAAGTTTATTTTCCTTAAACTAACACGATATCCCAGTATTCTACTTCACTTTGAGGACAAGATTCATTAGGTCTGCGGGAAAAGTAGTTAAAATTCAAATATCAGGACATGCTTTCGACAAATTTTTACATTTGCAAAGTGGAAATCTAAAGTAATATTTCCTTAAGCAATATTTTCTTAAGAAAATATGTATAAACATAACTCACCATCTTCATTCAGCTTTCTACTGATATCCAGCCATATGTGTTCTTTCAGAGCTTTATTCCCATAGCGGATATTAGTTACATCCCAGATTTCTGGATATTTTTTCACCAGATTTCTCAAATCCATGATTTTCCTCTCGCTTAGATTGGACATTTTTTTATTTTGTTATTTTTTTATGGTTATGGTGAAAGACGAAGAAAAAATTATTGAAACAAAATAAATGATTTCAAGATCTCTTTCGCACGCCCTCAACCGGTCTTATGGATAACTATTTCAATAAATTGGAGTCTAATATATTTCATTTCAAATTATTTGAGGGTGCATCGTAGTTTGACATCTTCATTGACGATTTTCTTAATTTAAAAAGATAAAAAAAAATATTAATACTTTTATTGGCTAAGAAATTTCAGTCGTGCCTTATTGTGCACTCTGTGCGTACGCAAACGTGAGAGAGCATATGGAAATGATTCAATCATAATTGGTATTAAAATTTTACTACCGACAAAGAAAATTTACAGAAAGAAATTTATATGTTGTGGCAGTTGAGCGGGATTGAAATTTTGAGAAAAATTCAATACCCTCGATTATTTAAATAATGATAATAGTCGAAATGTATAAATGTATGCATGACACCGCCGTAGCGAATTATCGTCTTTATTTTTCAATTAAAAAATTAATTCAGAACAAAGAGTTGATCATTAAACTGATCAAATATCGCAAAAATGGTTTTGCTCAAAATTTTCAGGATTCATAGAAAATATCACATCTTGAGAATTTGACACATCGTAACCGTATATAATATACGGCCTTTATGTTTAATGTAGTTACCTGAATTGGTGTGCACTTTAGATTTCCACTTTGCAAATGTAAAAATTTGTCGAAAGCATGTCCTGATATTTGAATTTTAACTACTTTTCCCGCAGACCTAATGAATCTAGAAAAATCTTGTCCTCAAAGTGAAGTAGAATACTGGGATATCGTGTTAGTTTAAGGAAAATAAACTTTTCTTAATTTCGTACACCTTCATATATGAGTTGAAATTTTTAACATCCTTCTTAGCAAATAACGAATTCATGAATTCGTTCAACATGAGATAGTTAAAAAGACGTGACAGAGCAACAAGTCTATATTTTTGCCTTCGCTAAAATTACCACCACTTTGAACGTACTATTACGTAAACAAAACATTGTATTTGGTTATATTTAATCAAATTCTTTCCGATTTCGTTAACAACATAGAGCCCGTTCAAACTCCACCTGAAATGGCGCAAGAGATAGTTGCTGTTGCAAAAGAGGTTGACGGGCAAGGATTTCAAGATGCTACTGAAACTGAAATTTTGCAGTTGGTCTCAAAAGAAGAAGAAAATTTAGAAGGGCATGAACTTGAACAGCTTGTTGATTCTATACAAAACGAAAATGAAAGCACTGATGCATCAGAAGCGCAAAACTGTCCCGATGACTTTGGTGCACGTAACATTATATCAATCATCACATCTCTCCAAAACTCTATCGGTGAAGCCATAAGTCAAGATCCTATCATGAGTCGCAGCATGAAATTTAAGCATTTTTGTGATTCAGCAATGCAAGTTTTTGAAGAAATATCTAAATTGATGGGACATTTTTTACTCTTTCGATACAGACTACTTAAAATAATTTTAAAAATGAATTTTTCGAGAGATTCGGCTTTAAAGGTTTCCCGACGATTTTTTCGGGAAAAATGAAAAATTTTCAGAAATCTGACCCCACCATCGACAAGCCGAGGAAATTTCCGATTGGAATGATAAGTTTTTTAATTTTTTCAAGTGCATTTAGGTATTTTTACAGCGAAATAGAAATTGAGCGGTTCGACTAAACAATAACGGACGCGCCAGCCCTGGGAAAGTTAATATTAAATGTCACATGAATATAATATAACTAATGTATATGCCAAAGATATAAACAAAAGTATGTTTTTATTATGTGCATTATTGCATTAGATTGATTTAAAAAGAATAATCTGATATTTACCTTCAAACCAAAAGAATGAAAAGTTCTCCAAAAATTGATCGCTAAAATAACTACATGTACATCTGTGTCAGTCGTTAATATGAGAACCTTTCCATTCCTTTCATATTTACTAGATTGAGCTATGTGAAGCATTATTTTTACGCCAGCTTCTTCTATACTAAAATTTTGCAACATTTCTAATGAGAATTAGCTCTCGAGTTATACGTTGATATGAAATTTTTCTGTTGCAAAACACTAAAAATCGACTCGGCGTTAGGCCATATATTTTTTCCATGAATCAAACTATAGTTTTTAATATATAGCTGTAGTTTTTTTTTATTTTCAGATAACGACCAAAATTTTTCTTCCTGATTAGGAAAAATCATACTATCGGTTATATCATGCAGTAATATAACTTCACCTTGTGATCTGCGAACTCTTTCACTGAATTTAGGTGAATTGGGAACAAGCCCTTACAATTACAAATAAGGCTCAATCATTTCAGCACAATTTTTATTGAAATTTTAGAAAAACATGAGTATGAGTCTCCATCATATATTTACAATTGTCCATCATCATTTTTCTCGCAATTGTGGCGTGCATAATTTTTACATTTTTCATGAACTGTTTTTTGGTGTTTTTAGCAAATACACTTTTAGTCCAATTTTTTTTAGCATTTCTCACATGCGTAGTCTTTGCGACTGACATGGACAGCTGTCTTTCCGTGCCTTTTCAAATCGCTTTAATCTCCAAATTTTTTCTCACATTCATCACATGCTTAATCTTTGCGACCGTCGTATACTAAATTTTGGTGCCTGATCAAGTTGGCTTTTTGTCCAAATTTCTTTTCACACCTGTTTTTAGGTGTCTCAGTAAATTGCTCTGATCTGATTTTGTTCCAAATTTCTTATCGCATTACCTCATGCAAAATCCCTGCGACCTTCGTGTACTGTCCTTTGGTGAACGAGCAAATTACATTTATGTCCGAATTTTTTTCCGCAATAGTTGCATGTGAAATCTTTGCGACCTTCATGTACTGTGTGTTGGTGCCTAAACAAATCTTTTTTTAGTCCAAATTTCTTCCCACACCTGTTGCAAACGAAATTCTTCTGACCTTCGTGAACTGTCTTCTGGTGCAAAAGTAAACTCGATTTCCGTGTAAATTTCGTAGCGCAGTTATTGCATCCGTAATCTCTTTGACCTTCGTGAACTGTCTTTTCATGAAAGAGCAAATGCACTTTTTGCCCAAATTTTTTCTCGCACTTGTCACATACGTAATCTTTGCGACCCTCATGTACAATCCTTTGGTGGTTCAGCAAATGCGATTTATGTCCAAACTTCTTCTCGCACTGGTCGCATACGTAATCTTTTCGACTCTCATGTACTGTGTGTTGGTGCCTAAACAAATCTTTTTTTAGTCCAAATTTCTTCCCACACCTGTCGCAAACGAAATTCTTCTGACCTTCGTGTACAGTCTTTTGGTGCCTCAACAAATCTGATTTTCTTCCAAATTTCAATTCGCATCTGACACATTCGTAATCTTTTCGACCCTCGTGTGTTATCCTTTGGTGCGAAAGCAAGAACGATTTGTGTCCAAATTTCTTCTCGCACTTGTCACACGCGTAATCTTTTCGACCTTCGTGAACTGTCTTTTGATGGTAGAGCAAATTCTTCTTTTGCGTAAATTTCTGTTCACACTTGTCGCAAGTGAAATCTTTGCAATCTTTATGGACTGTTTTTATGTGTAGGAGCAAATCGCGTCTATTTCCAAATCTCTTGGCGCACCTTTCACATAAGTAATCTTTGAAAACTTCGTGGAATATTTTTTTGTGTTTCAGTAAAGTCGATTTATTTTCAAACTTTTTCTCGCACTTGTTGCACGTGAAATCCTTGCGATCCTTATGTACTAATTTTTGGTGCGTAAACAAACTCGATTTTTTCACAAATGTCTTTTCGCACCTATCACATGCAAAAATATTGCGGCTTTTGTGTTCTGATATTTGGTGTCTACTCAAATGACTTCGGAACTCAAATTTCTTTTCGCACTTGTTGCACGCGTAATTTTTTTGTTCATTGTGAATTGTGTCTCGGTGTATTATTAAGCTTGATTCTTGTGTAAATGCGTCCCAACAAATATCACAAATGTATTTTTTGTCGTCTGGAACAACAATGTCATTTTCACTTGAATTATTATCCATTAAGGCAACTTCCTCTGATATCTCCGTACTTTTATTCATTTTGTTGACCAAATTAAACGAGCTTTCCGTTTATTTCTGAGTAAAATTTATCTTTTGGTAATATGGCTTGTTTCATCGGAAAAGACAACATTTAAACTAATTTGTTTTTACTACAAACACGATCAGTGTATCGGGAGACTATATGTTGAAATTGTTTATAATTAGGCTAACGGCTTATCTGTTTATACATTATTCTTACAATATTTGAAACAATTTAAAATTATAACTTGATGACGATTCTTTCGAGAAATTTTTCGACCTTCTTAAAAAAGTACTTCTAAACAAACTTCCTACAGACAACATCAATTTCATATAAAAAACATCGAATTTAGAGATTCTTATACTCATTTATAACAAAAAATTTTAGCATTCATTTTAAAATTGCTGTGATTGGCGTATTCCTTAAACTGCCACTGTTTGTAAACAATACTTTTACACAACTATGTTAATTTCAGCTCAAATTCGCTCCCTTTTTGAAAACTTCCAATTGAGCTAAATGATTTATTGTTCGAAAAGGTGATTAGGACATGAAAAAGTTGAAATTAATGTTAAAGTTAGATCTGTGCCCTGGAGATGAAAGGCTTTGTTAGGATTACACAAAAAATTCCCAATTATGTCTTAAAGGCGAACTTTGTAGGGCGTACGTAAAAATTGTTACGCGAGGTAGTAGTAATTGGGCCAAATATAAATTAAACTGGAATTTTGCTGTTCTGTGATCTAGTATCTTGCTGCTAGAAGGTATTGATATGTACAACGCTATTTTAGGGATGTAACAGTATAATATATTGTTACATCCAAAGATTTCACGTTTAAATAAAAGAAATCTCAACCAAAATCCCCCGCTGCGTAATTAGAAATCACTCATACCGATCCGCCTCTATTTACCATAGATCCTCATTACCATACATCAATCATTACCATAGATCAATCATAGATACCGACTTATCATATATCGATCTGATTTTGTTGACATGAATGTCTTTTGTTATAATTTTAATCCTATTATTCACACTCCATCTATCTAAAACTCACGGTTTAAAATGAATAAACTAACACCTCGCAAGTAAATAATTAATTACAATTAAAGTTGAAAAAAATATTTTTTATTGATAAAAACCAATAACTCAAGTAGATATTTAAACTAAATTTTATAGATAATTAAAACCACAGATAAAATACTCCTTCAATATTTTTAAGATAGTCATGACGCGATTATAACTTTAAATAATTAATTATATTGATAACTACTTCGCCACGTGCATGACTATGCAAGTTTGTAAATACAACTTTAATCATTCATAGAAATTATAAAATGCCATATGTAAAAGACGAGACCATTACATAGGCCCTAAATAACAAATTCTCAATCCGACGAATCGACGCAATAACTGCCAACCTTATTTAATTAATAAATGCAATATAAACTTTTATTTACCATTTATAAACTTAAATATTTATATGGCTTATGAGGTATCCATGTAATCGTCTCGCCACCCGCAATAATAATATCATTGTAAAATATTTTTCAACAAAACATGTAATTAGTTATAAGCGCTTAAAATGATGAATAAACCGTTAGAGCGTCGATAGTTACGGCTACGGCGTCTACCGGCCGCCTCAAAATTTTTATGGCTTTCCGACAAATCACAGCTCGCTGCGTGGCCAAGAGCTGAGATTTTGGAAGGAGCCTTCGGGTATATAAGTGCCTGTTTGAGCACAGAAAAATCACTTATCCTTATTCTTGCAAGTAGCAAGAACATCTCACTGTAGCTACAGTAACCTAGCCGCTCTAAGTAAGAGTAAGTAAGAGTAAGTTCGTTGCAATAGAAGTTTACCACAAAGGCCAATTTCAATAATTGCGAGAAAATATTATACCACCTTTTAAACCGGGACCAATAACCAATGGTATTAATCATGAAATTTCACTCATCCTTGCGAAAACCTCTTTGCAAATTAGTGTTGTAATTGGAGCAGGAAGTCAAGAAAAAAAAAACAAAAATAAAGAGTGCGACAAGTTGTATTTTCATGTTCGAACAAGCATCGTCTCTAGTCGATACGTATGAATTTAATTACCGCAACTTGTCGTACAAGATACAAACAAGGTCATGAGGGAAAATTTTTTCAGTTTCGCGAATAGCCATATAAACTGATGTGTCCATATCCAGAGATACGTATACATCTTTTTTTCCTTGTTGAGAATAATATTACAAATTGTTGACGATCAAGCCATTCGCACGCTTTTACCTGAGTAGTTATGACCTAGTCTTTTTACTCCGAGTCTATGATTTGAATACTTTCCGATCAACAAAACATTGGTTGAAATGCTTAATATTATTAACGGCCTATTAACCAAAAAAATCCATTAAAAATGTTAAAAATTCATCACGTTTAATTGGCTTGTTTTTGGCTAATTTTCTATTACAATTATGTTAAAAATATTAATCGAATTTTATATGACCTGAAAAGGACAATAAATCTTTTCAAAAAAATGTACAAAAGTTTTCTAACACTCGAATACGATAATATTATTTTAAATATTTACCACTAGATGGCGAGTACCTTTAAATCTGAAAATTTGCAAATGATAAAGTCAAATTAATTGTATATATTTCGTATATTAATTGTATATAAGTCGTAGTAGAAAATAGTCCATGCTCTATGTTCTCTAATGATAGTAACCGTACTTGGTAATAACTTTGTCGTATGTTGCATTAACTTCGAGCTGCAAATATTAACGATCATGTTTTTAAATCGAATTTAAAAATTGAATTTTGATCGAAGTTTCATATATATTAAAAAAATGTACTTTTGGATATTATACGTTGTTCTGTCAATTCTAGTGGCCCTTTTCAGATTGACAGTTTAGAAAATTACGTAATTAACATTTTTTCCAACATAAAATTTGAAATCCTTTGATCGTTGATTAGTTCGAACTTTATATTAAAATTTCTATCGATTCAAAAAAAAAAATATCTACGTGTATGTATATCGAGCATATATCTATGAAACATATGAATGTACCAAGATAGTATCTTGGTAAATATTGGAGATACACCGCACACGATGACATTACACACACACACACATTTATAGATCGCTCCAGATATGATTATGTGTGCCCTATACGGAAGCCGAGATATCGATAAATTACGTGTGTATATTATATCGGTCGCGCGTTGCCTCGAAAAATATTTTATTTTAAGCCATTTACGTAGATGAAATAAGCATTTATTACGGTGCTCTCGGATATTCAATTGGGGATTGTTCTCGTTTACAGTTAAAACCATTCATTACGACATTATCACGGCGCAGTAATGTCAATTGATGATTTTTTTTTTTCATCTCCTATATGCTTCGCTTTTTCATTCAATAAAAGCGGAATTAACGCTGTATAACATATATTATAAATGCCAAGGATTCGAGGGACGAAGCGTACTCACACACACACACATACCCAAAAAAGGAAAAATATAAGCTCGCCGAGGAGATAAAGGATTGGCGAAAGAAAGGGTATTTTCACGGACGGAAGAGTACCTCGCGAAGGCGAGCAGCAGCACGTGATCGAAAAAAAGACGAAAAAAGAAGCTTCAATATCAAGTACTGTAGAGATGCATTAAAGGTAGCATCAGCAAAACGATTGCTGCTGCTGCTGCTGCATTGGACGATGTATAATAAGGCACATACACACAGAAGGGAAACATCGCGAACGAGAGAGAGAAAAGGAGTTGTAGGATCAAAAAAAAAAGTGAGCGGAATATTCGTCGTTCGTCCTTCGCTCGTCTCTCTCTTTCTCTGTCTCTCCCTTCTCGTTCGTCGTACTGTATATATATTGCGCATGCACATTATAATATGCATTATATTATGGGCCTGGTTCCTGGTTGCACTGCACTGCGCGCACACGCACACACATATACACACGCACACCGTTGGAGGGCTGCGCACTGCTCGTCCTCCGTTTGTGGACTATAAAAGTCAAATGACGCCCGGCACTTGGACTCAATAGCAGAAAATTCCTTCAGCCATCAAGAGCTGCTGTGCGTACACCTCCCTCGCTCTCTTTCTCACTCTCGCTCGGATACACGCGTAAAAACAACACACAAAATGATGCTGATCGTAAGTACTCGAAATTTTTTCTTTCATTTACCGATCTGCCTCTTCTATCAACGATCATCAATTTCCCTATTGCATCCCTATAGGCATTGGTTCCCGTGCTGCTCGTGGCCTCGTGCCAAGCCGGCGAGCTGCTTGCACAAGCCGAGCCGCTCCAGCAGTTCACGCAGTCGCAGAACACCGCCACCGGCGAGTACGGCTTCAGCTACTCCGGTGGGCCCTCGGCCAAGACCGAGTACCGGGCGCTGGACGGCACCACCACCGGCACCTACAGCTACGTCGACGCCAACGGCCAGCTGCAGAGCGTCAGCTACATCGCCGACGAGGCGGGCTTCCGCGCCACAGGCACCAACATCCCGCAGGCGCGCAAGAAGCGAGGAATCCTCTATCAGCCCGCCACCTTCGCCGCTCTGCCCGCCGCGAGCTCGAGCCAGAATCGCTTCCAGATCCACAACGACGCCAGACTGATCCAGCGTACGGAGATACACACGCCGATCTATCAGGCGGCTGCACCGGTGGCTCTGCACGCCCCCGCGGCCCTGCTCTACCGTAAGAAGCGCGGCATCCTGGCCGCGGCCGAGCCGCTGCCCCTGGCTTACGCCGCGGCACCGGCCCTGCCTCTGCCACCGAGCAGCGCCAAGATCTACAACGAGTTCAATCAGCAGCGTCCGACCCTCTACGCCGCTGCAGCTCCAGCTCCAGCTCTCGTTCACGCCGCACCCGCCGCTGTAGCACCGATAGTCCACGCAGCCCCAGCAGCTCCTCTGGTTCACGCGGCGGCTCCCATCATCGAGCAGGCGCCCATCTCCAGGTCGTCCCAGAACCGCTTCCAGGTGCACAAGGACAGCAAGATCATCGAGGAGATACACACGCCGCTGTATCCCGCGCTGCAGTACGCCGCCTACGCCGCGCCGGCCTTGGCCCTTCAGCCCGCGCAGCCCGCACAGCTGATACAGCAGCAGCATCACTTCATCGGCGCCGCGCCGCAGCCGGCCTTCGGCATCGGTACGGTCACGGCCGTGGGAGCACCGCCTTCTCAGCCGCTGCCCGCCGGACCCATCGCCGCCGAGCCCGCGAGACCAGCCCCGGCCCCGGCTGCACCGGGAGCTCCCGCGGCCGTGTCCGACGATGCCATCACCGTCGAGAGTGCCTAAATTAACAAAAAATCATAATAATCATCAAAGTACACAGTATTTCGAGTGAGCATCGCCGTCCTTCGAATCTCCCGCGGAGCTGATGCAACGTACTACATCATGGCCACGTATACATATCATTATTCCCATGCGATGATCGGGATCATGGGCTGCATTATTCATTACGTACGCACAAATAAGTAAGCACCGATATCTACACACACACGTCGAATTTCACCTCGTTCATCGTCGTTATAATTATCATTATTATTTATATTATCGCTACCTTTTTTATGTCTTTTTTCAATATGTAATTCGTGTGAAGCTTGTTTAATTACTTCATGTATTTACAGCATGTGTGCTTTATAAGTGGCAACTGTTTTTTTATCGCCGATCGAAAGTGAAAAATAAAAGGATATTAATTTTTAAGTGCGAAACGATTAAAGTACAAGTTTTTAAATGAAACGATCGCTTTTATTATTTTTCCCCATCCTTGTCCACGAAATTTTTCAATTTACACCTTCATGCTAAAAACGTGAACACAAAAAGTAATAGTAATAAAGTTTTATCAAAAGAATCGTTGAATAAGAAGAAATAAGCGAATTTCATCATCTGCTCGCAGAGGATTTTTGCAATAATCCATTATAACTTTGATATGACTTATAATTTTCCGCAACGCACATCCTACAATCCATCAATAAATTTGACCTTGCCGAGCAGCGAGTCCTTTTCTGTAACTGTCAGGCCACTTAATTTGACAATCGGCATCAGCAGCAGCTGCTGCAGTTGTGGCGCGTTTCGCTCTCTCTCTCGCTGCTATTTCGTAACTTTTACAATGCGCGCCGTATCACATTATACACACCTTCAATTTTCGTTTTGCTCGCTTTTATACCAACTGCGCACGTACGCGCCCGTCTCGATTCGTTCGCTTTTTTTTTTGCTCGATCCTTCCACGATGATTGCCTGCCCCGTGTATGTGTATATTCGAGTTCGCTGCGGCGCGACCTTAAAAAGCGCTACCGCAGCGTATTACAGCCCCGGTAACACTCGTTGTCATAACTTTTCTTATTTCACTCGATTTCCTAGGGGGAATGTACTCTCGGCTTGGCGATTTCGCTGGTATATACCAAAGCGTGTAATATAGAGCCTTTTAGCAGAGATAGGGGGAAAAAAAAGAAAGAAACAGAGATACGGACCTTTAAAAATGATTTCGATCTTCTTATTAGAAGTTACCAGCGCTGCAATTGCAGTATTTACTTTTTTCACCTTGTAGCAGTAAACTTTTTTTTTCACCCGCAGCTTACTCGCCGTATAATCGAACGTGACACGCAATCTAATCGATGAAAATTCGCCAATTTTTTTCTTCGCTTCTTTTTTTGTGTGTGTATATCTCGTGTGTAGAGCATCATTTCGAAAACGGGACGATCAATTGTTTGCATTCATTGTCGATTGTGATGAAGATGAAGACTGAGAAACTTATTTATTCGATTAGTATTAAAGCAATTTTTTTATTTTTCTGATTTTTTATGTTATTTTCTAAAAATATTTTTTTGTGGTTTACAAGTGATCTCAATTACCGAATCTCGAAGTTTGCTCTTTCTGGTCTAACTTTGTCGAAATGTCCTTAATACACACTTTTTTCAGCCATGAATTTCTAAAATATGTTATCTTAGACCACTGAAAATGTGTGATGTACACTAGGAGCGATGTACATTTATGAATTGATATGATGTATGTAATTTATTGGTACCAAGCGTTTATCTGGTAATTGTGTCGTTAAATCGTTGGATACGCGGTATACTTTGCATTGGATAAGTTGAATTTTTACTAATTACATAGTTTTTTGTCGACCATTTCATTCTTTTCCTGTGCAGAAGTCAGTTTACGCAATGCAGTTGCGACTTTAAGAATGATTCTGTAATGAGTAATTAAATTAATAATTGAGTAATAAGAGTAATAGTTAGTACTGATATACCAATTAGAAGATGGTTACTTATGAAATACAGTTTATATTTTTCTCAAAGTGAGAAATTTAGGTAGAAAATTCGTCAAATTACAACAAAATTAATAACAATTTGAAATACTTTATTATTCAATGAAGAATTGATAGATATTTATTCGAATAACATTCTAAAATTATGCGTTGCAAATTCATATTTTTACAAGAGACTTTAATGCGTTCGAAATCTTCTCTTAGGGATTTCTTCGATTATGTACAGTACTCCATTTACTTGAAGGTGATGCTTTTGTCGAAATGAATTTTAAGTTTATTTACATGATTCGTGACAAACCTTATACTCGAATGGTTTGATTTGATTATGGTATTACATTTATGTGAGCATTGAGGTTACTTTTGTATCCAAATGACTCCTGACAAAACTGATAATCGAAGGATTTGATTTGATTGTGTACAGCATTCACGTGAATTTTCAGTTTACCTTTTTGTCCAAATGATTCGTGACAAACCTTATACTCGAATGGTTTGATTTGATTATGGTATTACATTTATGTGAGCATTGAGGTTACTTTTGTATCCAAATGACTCCTGACAAAACTGATAATCGAAGGATTTGATTTGATTGTGTACAGCATTCACGTGAATTTTCAGTTTACCTTTTTGTCCAAATGATTTGTGACAAACCTCACACTCGGAAAGTGTACTCCGATCATGTACTGTACTCATGTGCCTTTCAAGTTTACTTTTTTGTCCAAATGATTTACGGCAAATGTCACACGATCGAACGATTTGATTTGATTATGTACTATATTTATGTGTTTATTGAGGTCTCCTTTGTATCCATATGATTTGTGACAAATCTCACATGCAAAGGCTTTACAACGGTTATGTACTATATTAACGTGACGTTTGAGGTCACTTTTTTGTCCAAATGATTTGTGACAAATATCACATTCAAAGGGTTTGATACGATCATGTACTGTATTTATATGTAGTTTGAGATGATCCTTGCGACCGAATGAACTATGACAAGTCCTACATTCGAAGGCTTTGATGCGATCATGCACAGTATTAATGTGCCTTTTGAGGTTGTCTCGGTTTCCGAATGATTTGAGACAAATCTCACACTCAAAAGGTTTTTTACATTCATGTACTGCGTTTATGTGTTTATTGAGATTACCGTTGCCTGAAAATGATTTGTGACAAAACTGACACTCGACGGTTTTGCTGCGATCGTGTACTACTTTTATGTGTTTTTTGAGGTACTCCCGGTATCGAAATGATTTTTGACAAATGACACATTCGAAAGGTTTTATACGAATATGAACTGCATTCGTGTGAGATTCGAGAATAACCTCTTGTTCAAATGATTTATGACAAATCTCACATTTCAAAAGTTTGCTACGATCTTGTATTTTATCAGCATAATTTTTAAGTTTGTTTTGGCATCTTAATAAATCGCCGTGAGTTTTACTCTTATATGTTTCTCTTCTTTCATGTTTCGTATCCATTAAAATTAACGAATCTGTATTATTCAAGCAATTGATGTCAATTTGGTTTTTTATTTTCACAATTGATGGATAACTTTGATCTTCAGTTTGGCAGATGGTTGTCGATAATGACTTTGCTTCAATTTTAACATCTTTGCACTCGAAATCAATAAATATACTTTCATTCAAATAATTTGTTCGGTTTTGGTTTTCTATTTTTACGACGGGTTGACAATTTTGATGCTCAGATTTGAAGATTACTGTCGATAGCGATGTCGGTACCACTTTAACATTTTTGCACTCAAAATCTACGGTTTTTTTTTCATCTGTATTTTCCTGGATCTTCATATCCTGATACGTGTGACTGGCCTAAAATTAAAATCGTGTAATAGTTTTTGATAGTAAAAAAACATAAAGTAATTTAAATTATTGAGCTCACTGTATATGTGAATGTTTCAAAGTTTTTGTCTTCGCTAGAGTTCACCAAATCGAAATTATAATCGTCATCTGCACTCGGCAAAATACCAATCGGCTCATTTTTCACCCTAGAAAATAATGAAGTTGGATGAAGCGATCGCCAAATAGTTATAACGTCATGAACAAAAAAAGTTATACCTATTTATGTCCATTCTGCTTTTTTTTATCATTAGATTAATTAGATGAAATTACTGGGAGTTTTTGCGATCAGCACTGAGAAAATATTTGAGGTTAAACTCCTCGAGTAGCCAACACTGTATTGTAATTTAACTTCAGATAGGATACCTATACTCTCCTGATGATGTTATTTGTAAACACTTGCTTACTAAAGGCCAATTTAGCTCTAGCGACTGAACTACTGGTATATTAGTGAGTAGATCCCGTGATTGGGATGTCTCTCTGGCGATGTTTCCCCTTCTACCATCGACAAGCCATACGCACTAATTTGCTGCGAAACGTAAGAAACACTCGAGTATCCCTAAAAATACGCAGCAATTGTAATGAAAATTGTTAGATATATTTCATAATTGTACGTTTAGTTTGAGAATTGTAACCGTCAACGAGAGTTTCGCGCGTAAATTTACGTATATATAAGTTCGCGCGCGACACGATTGTTATTGTCCGTCGATCGGTCGCGATAGCGACAGCCTCGCACTGCGTAACGAGCGAGTCGGATTGTAGTCTTTGTTTTTATTCGTTTAATTTTAACTATAATTACCAATAAAGACGTTCATTGTTTTTAACTGTACGATTGACGCAAGAGATCATTTATTTAAATTCCTACATTCTACCCTTCTCGGCGACTGACTAAACTACTATTTTAACAAAATGTCGTTCATCCAGACGCACAATTTGGATACACATACATGCGATATGTATGCGGAAAAATATTTAAGCAAATAAAGAAAGTATTATAGAATCACATCACTTCAGAAAACAATGATATTATATGTGTGATACTTAAAATGAAGTTCAAGAAGTCGTTGGAGAGTCAGTTAGTGAAATAACTACTGAATAGATATTTTAATAAATCATATGATTTGCATTAATTACGTTTTAAAAGGTTACAATCAAAACACGATTCAATGTTTGACAATGAAAACAACTTATTATATTCATTAAATTTAATTACAATTACAGATTATAAATTAAAAAAAATGCCCCACTCAGCCTTGAATAACTCGAGTTATTTCTATTGGCAACCATTAAATGTCAAAATGTAATCAAGTTCCGTGCGGACTTTTATTTATTACAAAAAAAACTCTTAGAGCTTTTACAAACTATCAACTAATACCAATTACATTTTTATAAAAAGTTTTTTATCGTTGTAAGAGGAAATGTCGTTCTATTTTAATTTTTTGAAATTTTGGGTCACGATTGTTATTTGATATTATGTAATTATTCACCATTAGGAGTTGATAGTTTCTTACGTTTCATTCTTTTTCAGCAAAAGTTCACCCTTTCACAAAATACATCAAAACTTTACTGAAAAAGTTATTTTGTATTTCACCAGATATAGTTATTTCAAAAATTGTAACAAAAAAAACGTTTTTTTTTCGATTTAGCTAGCATATGGCGTTTCAGTTTAACTCATACTTAGCAGAAATAGAAAAGAGGATTGGTACAATTGATCATTTTTGATCATTTCATCAGGTCCGTGTTCTATTTTACGAGTATTTAAAAAATGACAATAAAAATAATCTCATTTTCGGGAGGAAGCTTTTGCGTCCACCGTGGCTCGAAAACTGACGATCTGCAATTTGAAACGCGTAATTTTACGTTTACTCCAGCGACGCGCATCATTATGGCACCGCACACTCGTAGCCGCGCTCGCATAGATACTTCCGCATTGCATCGCTGCTGGCAGGAATTATTATTCCTCGTATATTATATCTACGAGGGATATGTGTACGTACAAGAGCGCGCAGCGCGAGATCGACGAAACGAAGCGCCCCCCGCGCGGAACTTGGAAAAGGTGGTAAATTTTGCGCGCCATATATACATGCACTCGATCGCTCGAAAAAGTATTAAAAAAAAATATGTATATAATATAACGCGCGGCTTTTATACAGCGCGCGACACTCGATAATATTGCGCGTTTATATTATATATGTAGGGTATGGGGCGCGCAGCGCGGCTAAGCTGCATCGGAGGAGCAACGCGAGCTCGGAAACTACAAGCGAGCTCCGCGTTATACACATACACACATACACGTACATGCAAAGCTGCGAAGCGGAGGAGAAAAGCCAGAAGGGAATTGGCGAAAAAAAAAAGGGAATATAAAAAGGATATAGAGTCTCGAGGTATGGTGTAATCGCGCTCTGCCCTCGGTGTGTCGTCGTCGTAGTCTGTTGCCGGACGACACGAAGGCTATATAGTGGCCCCGCGTGCAGGTTGATAGTACATCTCGCGCTCGCGCTGCAAGCCACAACTCCGACCCTTAATGATCAACGCAGCTCACACTTGGCCATATATACATGCATATACTGTGTGCGCTACCGTATAGTTACTACACACACACGTATACAGGCATAAAAGGGCCTGAAAGAGCGCTACCGCCGTGCACTTGCTTGTGTGTGCGCAGCTGTGCAGTCGCTTCACTGCACTGTACTACCATATATATACTACATTGGAACGAGCTCAGAGGCCTTTGTCGTCGTTTTCAGGGCTATCGAAGGCTACGTATATGTATACTTACGCTATACACTCTTTATGGCGATCTTCGGGCGCGCGAAAAAGGAAAGTGAGAAAAATGCACCGGCTGTGCTACATGAGTAACAGCAGCAGCGCCAGCAGCTCAACCGATGCGGATCGATGCGGCAGAGAGAGAGAGACACACACACACATGTGCACACACACACGGAGTCGAGAAACTGCACGTAATTCTTGGAATATAATGCTTAATGTTTTGTGTGTGTGTAGGTGCAATAGAGAGCCGAGAGTGCAGTGCACCCCTTTGCGGACGTAGCAGCTCAGTGGCATTGTTATATGTGCACCCGCGCAGCACTAACACAAGATATACCTACGTATCTCTCGCAGTATAGGTATTTCTCAATTCTCGAACTCGCGACGAGGAAAGAGAGAGAGAGAGAGAGAGAGAGGAGTTAAGGTGGACGGCGGGGGAAGAAGAGGGTCGAAATACCTATAAGCGCAGGCAATATGCTAATTCCGATCGGTAAAAAATCGGTTGCGCGAGCGTTAACTCGATAGATAACTCGCGCGGAACGATGAGAGTCGTGCGCACACGTGGGTATTATATAGCTACAAAAAGCCGATCGCTACGTTTACGATAGGGATGTATAAGTATATATATTTAAGCTTAAGTATATATTTATTCAATGGCAGCTCGCTTATGTATCGGTATGTATGTATACATTGCTTCGAGCTAAGCTGCTGCTGCTGCTGCTGCCGAGTTAATGAAATCGTGCCCATTGATAAAATGTGTATACAATAGATATGAATGAAAATACGATATTGCATTCTCGAAAGCGTACGTATATAGATTCGATCGATTTTTTCAGGAACAGCGCTGCCTTTTTTTGAATCTGAGTGTTTGGCTACTGACGCCTGAGTATAGTCAGTACAATGATTGTTTTCATATATTAGTAGCTTGAACTTTGTTTTGCCACTTACGAGTACCGAATGCGCCATCTAGATAGAGGATCGAAACTATAATTGGTTTTACTTTGTGATTAAATCAAACTAATATTTAGTTACTTCTATGAAATTTAAAAATCTTAAAATTCAATATTAAAAACTAGATGTAAATAATCGTTCTCTTACATCGAATTTTTTGACTTAAATTAAAAAGCGATAAACCCGAAAGTGAAGCATTTCAAAATGTCTCCCGATTGAAAATGGAAATACGCTGGAAACGTGTATTAATTATTACATTATAGATAGAGTAGAGCGAGCATATCGCGTACCTGAATATAATATTATAAAAGGTGTAACATCCAAGTCTCGAGGTGTCCCTGCGCGCACGGCATTACACAGGACATACGTCGCAGCCTCGCAACTACTTCTATTACTATACTCTACTACCCGTACTACAGCCACAAATAATGCGTACTGTAAGCGACGAGGAGGAGGATTAATCCTTCAAGTTATTATACAACTGCTTAATAATGAGGGTGTGCAAGTGTGTGAGTGTGTGTGTGTGTGTGTGTGTGCAGGGGCTCGCACTCGAGTCGCATTACAGCTGTGCACGTTTGAGGTATGCGCGAGCGCATCGTATCGCATTACAGCACCTATTACCCACACATACACACACATAAGGCATTAAGCTCGATCATCTAAGCCATAATACGTGCCGTAAGGATCTCCGCGATGAGAGGTCGCGCGAAATCTCGCCACCTCCTTCTCCTCGGCCTCGCGCGTCATTAAATTAATATGCGAATCGAAGGATCGACACGCCGATCCACACACGAAATTATACACACGTACGTAACGTATATAGGTGCGACAGTGCGGCAGCTCCTAATACATCTAAGCGCTTACATCGCTTTATTGGATTCGTATACGTACGTATAATAACGCACGAATACGCTCGAGTAGATGCGTTGTATTTGTAGCCGGCTGCCGCACACGCGTCCATATAGATTGTTACACGGACGGACATGTGCATGCGTGGCGCGCGCGCGCATATATAGCGGGCCGATTTAATGGAGCGTGAAACGATATATCGGCTTTCTCTCTCTCTCTCTCTCTTTTGCTCTCTCAACCGTACCATAATATGCATGATATTATGCCCGCACGTACGTACTGTGTACGCGCTCGACATCGGGATTGTTGCAAGCTCTCTCGAGTCTAGGGATACATATTGCGCAGCAGCTACAGCCGTATACGGAAATCGTCCATCGTGTATATCCGATTGTGATGCGCGTGTAGCGGCTATATATGCTACTATAGTTCTCCGCGTGCACCGCGCACTGTACTCCGCTGCATAAGTCGATTACGGAGCCGTACGCGCCATTATGTATGTATGCATCGTGCGTGAGCTTATGAGCGCGCGCGTGCGGTTATTTTTCGGAGCACGAGAGAGAGAGAGAGAGAGAGAGAGAACGAGAGAGCAATCGACTATTTTTAATAATCGCCGCAGATGAAAAACCAAAGATTATTTCGAACGAATCCGATCGATGAATATTGCATATGCGCGTGTGCAGCTATGGTGGTGGTGGTGGTGTCGGGCACGTCGAAATTGAAATCGTGACTCTCGTATTTTCGCGCGTGGGTACTTGTAAACGACGATGATGAGAGCAAAATTTTTACACTCCACGTCCATTACGCTTCGAACGGTGTAATGTATACACAGGCTCGCGATGT